CTCTGAAGATCTTGACAAAGATTCTCCAAATTAAAGTTAATGAAATATTCATCATCTTATTTTTAAGGAAAAAATGAACCGGATCCTTGATGACAGATTTTCCTGCACTCATATTTCCTTTATTTAGTCACTGCATGCAACACAATGTTAGGATTTTGCTGACAAAGTGTTCACAACAGTCTTGTCTTCGTTGTCCACTATGAAAGATACAACAATCACGAAAAATGATGGAAGTCAACTGCGGATACAATGTCAGCCAGAAGTTTTAAACATGTTACTCTCAAAGGCAACAGGTACATGTACATAAAATGATGGAGGCTTGGTATATAAATAACATTAAATCTATAAAGTTAGATTTTAAGCAGTAAGAATGTCATGTTGGACTCTTATTAGGGCCCCGCTTGGCGGGCGCCCTATAGTGATCAGTCTGTCCGTCCGTCCGTCTGTCCGTCCGTCCGGCTGTCAGTCCGTCCGTCCAAGATCTCTTGTCCGGGGCACATCTTCTCTCTCCTTGGCCCAATCTTGCTCATACTTCACCCACAGAGTGCCTTTGGGTAACCGGTGTGCAGTGACCTTGAACCAGGTTCTAGGTCAAAGGTCAAGGGCATAGCTGAATTATATGAAAAATCCTTGTCCGGAGCATGTCTTCTCTCTCCTTGGCCCGATCTGGCCCATACTTCACCCACAGAGTGCCTTTGGGTAACCGGTGTGCAGTGACCTTGAACCAGGTTTCTAGATCAAAGGTCAAGGTCATAGCTGAATTATATGAAAATTCCTTGTCCGGTGCATATGTTCTCTCTCCTTGGCCCAATCTGGCTCATACTTCACCCACAGAGTGCCTTTGGGTAACCGGTGTGCAGTGACATTAAACCAGGTTTCTAGGTCAAAAGTCAAGGTCATAGCTGAATTATAAGAAAAATTCTTGTCTGAAGCATATCTTCTCTCTCCTTGGCCAAATATGGCTCATACTTCACCCACAGAGTGCCTTTGGGTAACTGGTGTGCAGTGACCTTGAATCAGGTTTTTAGGTCAAAGGTCAAGGTCATAGCTGAATTATATGAAAAGTCCTTGTCCGAAGCATATCTTCTCTCTCCTTGGCCCAATCTGGCCCATACTTCACCCACAGAGTGCCTTAGGGTAACAGGTGTGCAGTGACCTTAAACCAGGTTTCTAAGTCAAAGGTCAAGGGCATAAGTGAATTATATGAAAAATCCTTGTCCGGAGCATATCTTTTCTCTCCTTGGCCCAAACTGCCTCATACTTCACCCACATAGTGCATTTGGGTAACCGGTGTGCAGTGACGTTGAACCAGATTTCTTGGTCAAAGGTCAAGGGCATAGCAGAATTATATGAAAAATCCTAGTTCAGAGTATATCTTCTCTCTCGTTGGCCCAATCTGGCTATTACTTCACTCATAGAGATCCACTGGTCAATGGATGTGCAGTGACCTTGGTCAAAGTTTCTAGGTCATGGACAGCATTACCCTTTCTGTTTAAAATCTTTGTTTGGTGCATAATTTTTTGCCTTTTAATTCCAGTAAATTTATATAACTCAGGATACAAGATAACTTCGATAAATAATATTAGTAAATTTGCAGTATCCATGAAGTCGTACTAAATCACTTTTACTGTATAACACAAATGTTCCTCTACAAAATAATCCCTTTTAAATGACCTTACATTTTCATGTTCATTGTTGAATGCGGGGCCCTTTGAGATGGCCACCATCTCAATGATATCTAGTTATAGTAATTGTTTTGTAATAATTTAAGGCCAGTGACATATTCTTCACAGCAATTGAAAGCAATCTGCATTTTTATTTACTTCTTTCCTTCAGATCCATCAGTCAAGAGCTTGGTTATGTTGAAACTTCTTAATCAAGAAACATCATGTTCACCATCCATCCATAAAGGGTCAGGTGACCAGCGCTCAAGGTCAAACTCTTCTGACACTTCACCATCATTAACTTCACCACCAGTGTCATCCACTTCAGCACCATCTTCATCCACTTCAGTACTCTCTTCATCAACTTCAGCACCATTGTCATGTCATCCCCTTCAGCACCATACAAGTCATTGGCTACATCTGAATCCCCCATTACATCTAGTGAAAGTAGCTCCAGCACACACACTTGGAAGGCAGAGGAAGAAGACTTATTGGTAAATCTGAGGCATGATAAGAATGACAAATTTTTGCAAAGCAAAAACCATACTGCCTTGTGGAAAGACATTAGTGCTCAACTGAATGAAACACTGAAGTGCAATGTTTCCCCAAATCAAGCAATGAACAAGTACTACAGTATGAAAAAATGGTGGAAAGAAATTATTGATGCACCAACTGGAACAGAAAGGAAATATTTTAGGCAGAAAGATCAGTTTGATGAAATGTATGGTACAAAAGAAAGCACAAAAACAACAGTAATGGTAGACACATTGGAAAAGAAATCAGAGACGCAAGGGCAAAAAAAAAAATAAAGTCTGTATAAAGTGTTAAAATTAAGCTATTCATTCTTCTTTATGAGGACATCTGCACAAAAAAATGTTTCCTTTAATACTAGAGAGGCAAATACAAGGAGTTTAAAAAAATGGAACAGATTCACTGCCGATAAAATGGCAAGACTATTGTAGACTTGAAATTTTACAATCTTCTCTGAAGCAGATATATTGAAACAAAGCAAATCCGATTTAAATAAATGTTGTCTGTGCATCTGTCTGTTTCATAACAAATTTTTGTGGCACATTTAACTAAAACTATATATGTAGATGCTTGATTTTGAACACAATCTTCAAGTTGAGGCATGCCATATGTTGTGATACATTCTTTTTCAAATTGGATATCAACTGCCATGTTTTTTTTTCCTTTTTCACAAATAAGTTGATATAAATTTTAATAGTTTCTCACTGTGCCAAAAAGCAATATGTTTTGTGATTTAATTTTTTTTGTTTAGGCATGCTACAAGGATTAAATAAAATGTTGAATCTGATATCACCTTCCTATTTTTCTGTGCATCTACCTGTAATTGAACTTGTGTTTATTAACATGATAGTGCTTATTTACATCAGAGCGGGGGTATTACTAGTGAGCATTGGCTCACAGATTTCTTGTTGACTTAGTGGGTGATATGCCATTATGGCATATTTAGTCAAATATGAACGCCCTACCCTATGTCATTTCATAGTAACCAAACATGAGGGTCAAGGCCAAGGGATAAAAAATCAGAATGCTCAAACACATCTTGTCTCAGAAAGTTCACTTGTCAAATATGATATCCCTATCTCTTCTCAATCAAAAGTTACAATGAAATATTTGTAAATTTTATTGCATTTGAAAAAACTCTTAATATTTCAATTTGTTTATTGTACACTGTACACCACTCTTGCACAAAATGTATGCAATATACCTTACATTAAATAATCACTTTCATATTGGCACAGAAACAATTCAATACAAATGTTTTGGTTTGGGCCATTGATATCGGCCTGGATAGCTCAATCGGTAGAGCACCTGACTAGTGATACAGGGGTCCCGGGTTCGATTATGCCAGCCATGCATTTTCTCCTTTCCTGTTACAGATTTGGTGCCGGACCACCCATGGAATTGCAGGTGAAAGTCCTGCTAGGGGCAAGTAGAACTTTGGTTTTGTCTTCGAGGGCGAAGACCACTCTTGTACAAAATGTAATTGTTTGCCTCGGAATATACTCAATCGGTATAGCAATAAGATAATCACTTGCATATTGGCAGCCAGAAACAATTCCAACACAATAATGCAGCAATTTGTGTAACCATGAAAACTATTATCAAGCTGCATTCTCCTTACAATGCCATTGTGTCCGTTTTGGTAAATATTATCACACTGGCAGTCATTTGGATCCTGTAAGTGTTCTCCACTGATGTAGTCTTTAACTTCTTCATCATTAATGATGCACTTGTTGTGTAATATACAGGCAGCCAAAATCATTTGGCAAATTTCTGTGGAGTTGTGTAATGGAATGTCCTGCAGCCGACGAAAACGTCCTTTTAAATGGCCAAAAGCACGTTCAACAACTTGTCTTGCACTTGACAGTCTCTTGTTGAAACGGACTTGCTGTGGGGTAAGATTTCCCAAGTTCTTAAAGGTGGTTATTTACAGTTCCTGAGAGGATACGCGCTGTCAGCAAGAATAAATTGATGAACAACGAGTACAAAGTTTCCTGCCGCAGCCTCTGTGTATAGAGATGAATTTGTCAAAACGCGAGCGTCATGCACACAGCCTGGCCACCAAACATAAATAGTTAATTTCATCTCATGGTCTACTACAAACTTGCAAAAATATTACATATATGTACATATAATCAGGAGAATGTTTGCAAAGGAGTGGAAAACATGTTTTTTTAACTGCCCTTAAAGAAAATCTCTTCATTTTGGTAGGCATGGACTTTATTTCAACATACTTAAATTTATTTTTTCAGGTAATCTATTTGAAGAATCACTAAAATTTTTACCGAAAAGTTGATGGATCATATATGTGATGTGTAGGAGATTATCAAAATGATCATTGATGTCAAAAGATGAATTTCTAGGGTATTATCATAGTACCATTGTTTTTTTACATACCGGTATTCATCTTTTGACATCAATGATCATTTTGATAATCTCCTAGATGATCATTGATGTTAAAAGATGAATATCGGTATGTAATAAAACAATGGTACTATGATAATACCCTAGAAATCACTTCTTGCTTATTTTAAGCTTATGCAAGTTTATGACATTAATCATTTATGAAAGCAAGATATTTTTACACTTACTGCTTACCTGTAAAAAAAAATCTTAATTCCAAATTCGAAGACTTCAAGAGGCACGATGTTCATGTTGATAGCTATTCTGGTGATACAAGTTGATGCGCGGTGCGGGGTGACAGAGGGGGTAGTGCAGTGTCGAGACTGGAGGGAGTTTGAAGGGGGGAACTACGTCATGACCAACGTCCTCATCCTGGAGAGGGCCATAAGAGAGATACACATTGAGGACTATCCAGCACTGACCAGGCTGATCATCCACGACCAACAAGCCAGTTGCAACGACATATCAGAAAGCCCCTGGACGACGGTCCGCATAGGCTTCCGCACTTGTCAGGCAAATACCAGCGAAAGTGGCGAAACTACCAGTACGCACCATCCGAACCATGGGAAGGGAGACCTTACCATCCTGCCAGCTATGGCTATAACTACAATTACTAAATTTTCTTTTTTATCACCATATCAGATGTTACTTATCAATTACACTGATGATATATAGAAACAATGCCATTCTCTTAATGATTATTTCAATATATGAAATTCATTCTCGAATATTGTACCACTTCCACTTATTGGTGCACCTGTACTCATAAATGTCATGTTTATTTGCAACTGATTTATATATATATATATTTCTTCTCACATATTATTACTACTGGATTATACATTGTATAAGATGTTTTGAAGGAATATTGTTACTACTAGATTATACATTGTATTAGATGTTTTGAAGGATGTTGTACCTTTTCTCTTGATTTGGGTTTGAAAATTTGTTTTTTTTTGTCTTAGAATGTATCAGATGTACAGAAAAAAATTTGTTAAATGTGCTTTTTGGAATGTTGGAGGATTGATATCAAAAGGTATGAACAAAATGGATGACGAGCTTTTCCTATCAAAAATTATAGATAACGATTTAATATTTCTTGTGAAAACACACATTGGACCAGATACAGTTGTATTACATGATGATTTTTACTGCCACACAATTTGTAGAAATATATCTAAAAATGGCAGATACTTTGGAGGGATATCAATATTAATTAAGCATGAGATTAAAGATCATGTTTCTGTAATTAAAAATACATGTAGTGAGTATCAATGGATCAAATTAGAAAAAACTTTTTTTAATTTTGAGAAGGATTTGTATATATGTACTGTTTACAACCCCCCTGAGGGATCACCTGTAATAACACAAAATAATGTTAATATTCTGGAACTCGTACAGAAGGATATTAATCAATATAAAGATTTAGGAAGTATAATGCTTTGTGGAGATTTTAATGCTAGAACAGGAAATGCAACTGATTATATACTAGATGATAATAACCAATATTTACCCTTATTTGAAACATATAAAATTGATAATGATATTTTCAAAAGAGTTAATAGAGACACTTGTGTGGATAAGAGAGGAAAAGAAGTAATACATTTTTGTATTGGAAACCAACTTCGTATTATGAACGGAAGATGTTTTGGTGACATTTTTGGAAATTTCACTTGCCATAATTATCATGGAAGTAGTGTTGTTGATTATCTTTTAACTGATGAAGAAATTGTACAACGTATTTTGTTTTTTGATGTATCAGATTTTATTTCCACATTATCTGACTGCCATTGTATGTTATCATGGAATATTTTTTCTCAACATGAATCTTCTAATAGAGAAAATAGTATAGATAATAATAATTACAAGATCCATTCGTCCTTTAAGTGGGGGGAAGACTCTGCTATTAAATTTATAGAGGCATTACATTCCCCCAAAATAAAATGCAATCTTGATAACACCATGAGCATCAATGACATAGAATCTATAGAATCAACAGTAAATAGATTAAAAGATTCCCTGGAAGCTGCAGCCATTATGTCATTAAAACCAAACTTACCTAAAAATAAAACATGTAAAAGTAATAAAAGCTCTGCTAAACATAAAAAGAAATGGTTTGATAATGAGTTGATAAATATGCGCTCAAAACTAGTTAGGAAGGGAACTTTATTTGGCCACTACCCCAGAGATATCAATATTAAGAATCAATATTATTACAAAGCATATAGAATATATAACAAACTACGAAAACAAAAATTCAGAACATACCATTCTAATATTATCAACAACCTAAATGCTTTAAATTCAACTGATCCAAAAAAATATTGGAAACTTATAGGCGAATTAAGAACTGGAAATACAAAGACAATTGATACATCAATCTCTAATAATGAGTGGTTAAACCACTTCAAAAAATTGAATAAAACTCATGAGGATTTCGTCGATCGAGATCAGTTTCTTAAAGACCAACTAAAACAAGCTGAGAAAACAACAACACCCATATTTAATGAACTTGACTACAAAATATCTTTCAATGAATTAAGTAAAGCAATCGGTAAACTTAAAAATGGTAAGGCAGCTGGTACTGATAGAATATGTAATGAAATGCTTAAACATGGTCAAACGGTCTTGGTACCAATATTACTGAAAATCTTTAATGGTTGCTTAACTCATGGATATTATCCTTCTTCATGGTGTGAAGGATACATTACTCCAGTATACAAATCTAACAACACTAATGATCCCAACAATTATAGAGGAATCACAATAACCAGCTCAATTGGCAAACTGTTTAATTATATTCTTAACTCAAGATTAGATAAATATTTAAAATGTAATGATAAAATCAATCCTTGTCAAATAGGATTTACAAAAC